ACCCTCTCAAACTCCTGTCCCATCTGTCCGAAAGCTCTTTTCACAAACTCCTCAATGAATCCATCTACATACATTTGACACAAGAAGTGTAGACTCTGATTTTGCTCTTAAATCAATCCAACAACTGCAGCTCATTCAGAATTATTTTGTTCTGGCAAATCTCACAATATGCATTCAAAAAACATCACAAGCTCCTTATTCAGATCGGCTTCAGGTGGACTTCAGTTCAAATGTATGTGGTTTATGAACCAGTCAGACCAAGCTTTGTTCTGTCCTCAGACACAGATGAGAAGAGCGGCGGAGCGTAGCTGCTGTGTGGAGGTTTATCGGCCATGGTCTTATCAATCTCTGCGCTCCACTGCAGCATTCTGGCTCCAGACCAATGCATGTGAGTCTATCTGAAGACCTTAACAGGACATGTTTTGCAATAGAAACACTTTTTAATGTTTACACTTAATGTAAACCTAATATTAAGTTTTAAAACCACACACAATTTATTCGACTTAAAGGGGCATAACATGCAAAATTGACTTTTTTATTGTGGCAACGAGAGGTTTAACCACTGCTCCGATTGATAAGAATAATTATCTTTGATCAACAAGGCCACAATTTTATGATACTGATGCTCATGAAAGTGTAGAAAGACTTTTGGTCAAATGCGCAATTACATTTAAACATGAACATTTTCCATAATAACCAGAATGCAATGATTCCATTCTTATTTTCATGCACCTGCCTGATGTCCAGGCAGATCATGTGCACCTACAGTTTGCCACTGTATTGCCTCTATAAGGGGAATGAAACCTTTTGACCTGTGCTTGCTCTAGTGTGCATGTTGTAGAATGCCTCTGACACCCTTTGGATGCAGCGAATGGAGACTGATGGACAGTCTGAGTTCGAGGAGATTCAAGGACGCTGACATGCCTCTTGCCCTGTTATACATCCTAATGCTTAATATAAGAAAAAAAAAAGATAAAAAAGTGATATATACCAGTAATATATTTTTATCTGGAAAGACTAAAAGACACAAAATGTATTTGAATGTTTTATTTATTGATTGTTTTGGCGGAACTTGGTCTGCGAAGCTCCTTGATTGTGTGCACGTTTAAGATCCCCCGGGACCTAGGTACTGGTGGTGGCGTCCAGGCAAGCAGGGCAGAGAGCGTGCGCTCGAAGAAGAGGAGGAGGCGGGGAGGCGGAGGTTGCGAGCCTTGAGGGGGCTGTGGTATAGAAGGTTCTGCTTTCAAGCGGCTGGCTTGGCTGGCATAGGTTGGCGGGGAATAGGCTTTGCTGTGCGATAGGCCAAATGTGAGAGGGCTAGCCTGGATGGGATAATAATAATAATAATAATGCATCGGTTTGGTTTTATATAGCGCTTTTCTGGACACTCAAAGATGCTTCACATGTCATTATTCTTTCACTCCCTACACGGTGGTGATGAACTACTGCTGTAGCCACAGCTGCCCTGGGGCACACTGACAGAAGGGAGGCAACCAGTCTGCGCCATCAGCCCCTCCGACCACCACCAACCATTCACACACACACCAGACTCATTCTAGGCAATGGGGGTGAAGTGTCTTGCCTAAGGACACAACGGCAGTTTGGCACTTTACAGCCTCAGCCGCCCCACTGTGGCTGGTGTTCCCAGAGGTTAAGTGTCTTGCCAAGGACACAACGACAGCAGACAGTGGGAGTCGATGGTGAAGGTCGGACTCAAACCCACGACCCTCTGGCACAAAGGCCAATGCTCTACCAACTGAGCTACTGTCACTCTGGGATGGGCTAAAGCAGGTGGTCTACCAAAGATTACATTTCTGCGGGCTGCTTTATAGGACTTAGAAATCTACATTTATTTTCCAGACATACATTTTCAAGGCAAAATCAATACTAATGTAATAATTTCAATATAATTTAATAAATAGGACTACATTTCCAAGAACTAAACCCTGCCCTCAAATGCACACTCTGTTCATCCGCGACAGTTCATCATCAGTCTTTCTCTGTCAATCAGCAGCAGGCTCCGGTCTTGTTCTCGTCTCGGACCGCACTGTTGAGAACCTGCTGCCGCACATAGATATGACTTGAGCAACTGCTGAAGATTGTGTTACAAACAAATATCTACAAATATTCTAGAATATGTTTGAAAATAAACAACAATTTATGCACGTGTGAAAACAGTAATAGTTCTCACCATTCCTCTTCAGAACCAAACCAGGATCAAAACCAGTCTCGAGACAAGAACTGGACGAAAAACCAGAACTCAGACCTGAACTGGACCAAAACCAGATCAAAGACCAGATCAAAGACCAGAACCAGACCGATACTTGACCTAAGACCGAAGCACTAGACCCGTGACCCAGACCCAAGACTAATACTGGACCAAAACCAGACCAGCCCCAAGACCATACCCAAGACCATGTCCACCCTCTGACCAGGACCAAAACCATTCCCAGGCCAAAACGATGTTAAAAACACTCAAAAATTATAATCTGATTCTACATATATTGATAAAAAGTATCCAAAAACCACCAATTCGAATGTTTTAATTCTTTATGTCTGGTTCCAGATGGTGGCGACTCGGTGCATGGCGTGGCAGAGGCCATGGCGCGGCTGCATGTGTGCGCACGCCACCACGCCTCCTCTCTGCTCAGACAGCAGCCAGTGAACCCAGCCTCATACCTGCACTTCTTACACCACTTCTGTGAGCTGTTCTCACGGTTGCAGGAGAAGGCCCAGCAGGAGGCTCATCGGTATGACTGCATTTCTGTGTAGAAAGTCCAGCTCACAGACTAATGCTGCTGTGTGGCAGGCTGGAAACAGTGGTGTCCCGCCTTGAAGAGATGACCAACACGGCCCAGGACATTCTGCGCACACAGAGGGAGAGGATCCATGCCTTGCAACAGGTCTGTGTACTAAAGGAGACAGGATGACAAAACGGTCTGATTACCATGTTCATTCACTCTGAAATCTTCTAAAATCTTCTGCCTAAACCAGATGTGTTAAAGACATTTGGATCAAAGGCTGGATGTTACGGGATTAAAACAAGGAATAACCCAAAAGCAGAATTTCAAAATTATATACAGTGCCTTGCGAAAGTATTCGGCCCCCTTGAACCTTTCAACATTTTGCCACATTTCAGGCTTCAAACATAAAGATATAAAAATGTATTTTTTGTCATGAATCAACAACAAGTGGGACACAATCGTGAAGAGGAACGAAATGTATTGGATAATTTAAACCTTTTTAACAAATAAAAAACTGAAAAGTGGGGCGTGCAATATTATTCGGCCCCTTTACTTTCAGTGCAGCAAACTCACTCCAGAAGTTCAGTGAGGATCTTTGAATGATGTCCTAAATGACTGATGATGATAAATAGAATGCACCTGTGTGTAATCAAGTCTCCGTATAAATGCACCTGCTCTTTGATAGTCTCAGGGTTCTGTTTAAAGCGCAGGGAGAACCATGAAGACAAAGGAACACACCAGACAGGTCCGAGATACTGTTGTGGAGAAGTTTAAAGCCGCATTTGGATACAAAAAGATTTCCCAAGCTTTAAACATCTCAAGGAGCACTGTGCAAGCAATTATATTGAAATGGAAGGAGTATCAGACCACTGCAAATCTACCAAGACCCGGCCGTCCCTCCAAACTTTCATCTCAAACAAGGAGAAGACTGATCAGAGATGCAGCCAAGAGGCCCATGATCGCTCTGGATGAACTGCAGATAACTACAGCTGAGGTGGGAGAGTCTGTCCATAGGACAACAATCAGTCGTACACTGCACAAATCTGGCCTTTACGGAAGAGTGGCAAGAAGAAAGCTATTTCTCAAAGATATCCATAAAAAGTCTCGTTTAAAGTTTTCCACAAGCCACCTGGGAGACACACCAAACATGTGGAAGAAGGTGCTCTGGTCAGATGAAACCAAAATCGAACTTTTTGGCCACAATGCAGAACGATATGTTTGGCGTAAAAGCAACACAGCTCATCACCCTGAACACACCATCCCCACTGTCAAACATGGTGGTGACAGCATCATGGTTTGGGCCTGCTTTTCTTCAGCAGGGACAGGGAAGATGGCTAAAATTGATAGGAAGATGGATGGAGCCAAATACAGGACCATTCTGGAAGAAAACCTGTTGGAGTCTGCAAAAGACCTGAGACTGGGACAGAGATTTATCTTCCAACAGGACAATGATCCAAAACATAAAGCCAAATCTACAGGTGTTAGAATGGCCAAGTCAAAGTCCAGACCTGAATCCAATCGAGAATCTGTGGAAAGAGCTGAAGACTGCTGTTCACAAACGCTCTCCATCCAACCTCACTGAGCTCAAGCTGTTTTGCAAGGAAGAATGGTCAAGAATTCCAGTCTCTCGATGTGCAAAACTGATAGAGACATACCCCAAGCGACTTGCAGCTGTAATTGCAGCAAAAGGTGGCGCTACAAAGTATTAGCGCAAGGGGGCCGAATAATATTGCACGCCCCACTTTTCACTTTTTTATTTGTTAAAAAAGTTTAAATTATCCAATAAATGTCGTTCTACTTCACGATTGTGTCCCACTTGTTGTTGATTCTTGACAAAAAAATATATTTTTATATCTTTATGTTTGAAGCCTGAAATGTGGCGAAATGTTGAAAGGTTCAAGGGGGCCGAATACTTTCGCAAGGCACTGTAATTCAATAAATACCACAAGAATAAATCTAAAAGTAAAAACTGAAACTAGAGACAAGGAGCACAGGGTCTAAATACACATGTGGAGGCTCCGGTCTAACACATCAGGGCGTGGCATACAATCTACAGGAAAGACAGGAAGTAAAACTCAAACTCAAAGAGAACGGGATTATATATCAACTAAAGGTCAACACCATGAAGAGAGAGCTGGGTCTGGGACCGTATACTTTTCTAATGATAATAATAAGGCATCAGTTTTATATATGTCACATGTCATTATTCATTCACTCTATACATTGTGGTGGTGAACTACTACTGTAGCCACAGCTCCAGCTTAATAAAATAAAAAAAACAATTGGTCCCAGAGGGGTGGCTTTTCTTAAAACTGGTTTAAAGATTACAAAATGTATTCAAGTCTCAAAAATGAGTTAAAATACTAAAACCCAAGGCCAGGAGATGCCTCTAAGTCTATCACAGATGCGCTCCTATTGATCCTTTTCAATTGGCTCTCCATAAGATACAGAACTATTTTCAGAGTGAACAATAGTTTGATGAATTGTACTATATAGTCGCATTGTCTGTAGATTGTTATGTTCCCCAGCTTTAAGAAATTATTCTTACATTGTTAAGGATCAGTCATGACACGCCTCACATAAAACATTTCCCTTATCTGCTTTTGTCTCTGTTATGCAGGAGCAGGGGTCTGTCCTCGGGGCCATCGCAGACCTGGAGCTGCAGCTGGAGGAATCCCAGAACATTATTGTTCGGGAGCAGACACGACTCACAGAGCTGGAGAAGCAGCTGCAGGAGACACAGCAGGAGGTACAGAGCATGGCTGAGGAGGCTCCATAGGGTCCAGCAACTATATGTAGATATATAGATTGGCAGTATATATCTAATGTGTGCGTGTGCGTGCGTGCGTGTATTCTCCTGTCTGTGCTGTAGGTGCAGGCCGCTCTGGAGGCTAGGATCAGAAAAGTGAGCTGCCTGGAACTGAGTGCCCTGGAGGAGGTACGAGGGTACAGGGACCCCCCGGAGCCCGTCACCATGGTGATGGATGCAGTGTGCCTGCTCTTCCACCACCCCCCGGGCTGGGACAGTGCTAAACACCTGCTCAGCCTCAACAGCTGTGTGTGTGTGTGTGTGTGTGTGTGTGTGTGTGCGCACTTGTTTTCAACTCCTGGTGGGTTCCATAACCTGAGATTCCACTCACGTCATGGGGACTGGTTTTACGTGGTGGGGCCCGAACACCGGACCCCACTGGTCCAAGCTTAATAATCAATGGGTAATGCTTTTCTAACGGTCCTTATGCAGTCTCTGTAAAAATATGGAAAGGACCCCTGGAGGTTTACTTTCCTGAAAAAAGTGTGTTATGTGTCGGAACCCTGGTGGTGGGTTGCGGGATATCAAGGAGGGGCACACTGGGGCAATTTCAGTCCAGCAGGCTGGAGCCAATCATGGAGCAGCACAACAGAGGAAATCAGGTGTCAGGCTAGAAAAAGGTGCAAGTGTGTGGTTCATTAGGCTGCAAGAAATCATGGAGGAGCACACTGAAGCGCACGCTTACAAACCACTGGTAAGTGCTGACTACAAGTCATGACTTCAAATTGTTATATAGAATGATTACAAATTATTTGTTGTTTGTGCAGCTTAGTCAAGAGTCCCTAATTGATGAAGTCGACTCAGATTCTGACGATTTAACTGTCAAGAAGAAACCTGTAAAAAAGTATGGAAAAAGAAAAATCAAAAACACTTTTCTTCAAGACTCGGAAAGTGACGAACCAAAGGCAAATAAGATTGTTATCATGCAGCTGCAAAAGAAGAAAAATGGGGGGCGAGTATACAGCAAGAGACACTTCTGCCTCTACTGTTCAATGTCCTGCCACAAAATGTCCCGTCATTTGACTAGAAAACATGGAAATGAAAGTGACGTAGCCAGAGCATTGGCTCTACCTGTGAAATCTAAAGCACGTAAACTTCAGTTTGATTTGATCAGGAATAGTGGAAACCGTGAGCACAATTTTGAGGTTTTAAAGGCCGGCATTGGAACTTTAGTCCCAGCTAAACAGCCAAATTGCCCAGTTAAATCCAGTGAGTTTTTGCACTGTATAGACTGTGGGGCATTGCTTAAGCGAAAGTCGCTGTGGAGGCATGTGGCCAGGTGCCGGCTTTCACAGAAAGATGCCCAGGCTAAACCAGGTAGAAGTAGGGTCCAGTCCCTCTGCTCCCTAGCCCAGCCTGTACCGGAGGGCATCAGCAAAAAGCTGTGGTCTTTAATTTCGGCAATGCATCAGGATGAGGTCACGGGTGTTGTCAAAGCAGAAAAGGGGATTCTGAGACTCGGAGAGCACCTGTACTTAAAACACGGGCATGATAAGACAAAGCATGATTACATTAGGCAGAAAATGAGAGAAGTCGGTAGGTTAATTAACGAAGCAAAAACCGCAGGGAAACTGAAAACAATTAAGGATTTCTTTATTCCTTCCAACTTTAACCATGTGATTGATGCAGTCAGGTCTGTGGCTGGATATGATGAGGAAACAAATCAATACAAGACTCCATCCTTGGCCCTCAAACTCGGCCATAGCCTCAGAAAGCTAGCAGATATTCTTGAATGTGACTCAAAAATGGAGCATTGTGTTGATGAACTATTTATTAAAAACCTCCAACGAAGCCGGCTGCTTTTTGAGAAGAGGTGGGACGTCTGTGTTTCTTCTGCTGCCCTACAGACCCTCCGGCAAGCCAAGTGGAACACTCCGGACCTGCTCCCTCTGACTGAGGACGTTAGAGCCATGCATGCACATATTGAGGTATGTCGACCTGAATATGTGCAAACCCTAATAAGTGAGCCAACGTCTAAGCATTGGTCTAAACTGGCAGTTTTGACTCTTTGTGAGGTCATCATTTTCAATCGAAGAAGGGAAGGTGAGGTTTCAAAGATGCCACTGACAGCCTTTACCTTAAGAAGTAAGACTGGGATCCATTCTGACATTGCTCTGGGACTGTCCCAACTTGAGAAAAAGCTGTGTCAGCATTTTCAACGCATTGAAATTAAAGGGAAAAGAAGTCGGAAAGTGCCGGTTCTTTTGACTCCTGAAATGATTGCTTCGATGGAGGTGCTGGTGGAGAACAGAAGGGCCTGTTCCATCTCTGACCATAACCCATACTTCTTTTCCCGCCCGGGCGCAGACACCCACATCAGGGGATCAGACTCCCTACGCCAGGTAGCCAAAGAATGTGGTGCGGTGCATCCAGAGATGCTATCCTCAACCAAACTTAGAAAGCACATAGCTACTATGTCTACAGTTCTCAATATGAAAGAGAATGAGATGGACATACTTGCCAACTTCCTCGGCCATGACATTCGCATCCACAGGCAATATTACAGACTACCAGAGGGGACACTGGAGCTGGCCAAAATCAGCAAAGTGTTGATGGCCATGGAGCAGGGAAGAGTGACGGAATTCGAAGGAAAGAGCCTCGACCAGATACAAATTGAGCCTGAAGGTAATTCTTGATATTATTAAAATATGTATGATTTTTTTCCCCTAAAGGCCACTTGTATTTTTATTTTCTGTGCGACAGGGAGAGCAGTAGAGATCCTCTCACAAACGGACGGGCTAAAAGAAACTTCAAGCGGAGAACCTTCAACCATTCATCCAGATGCACCCCATGGTAGTGGCAGTGCCCCTTCTGGTAAGTGTACCAGGTGGGGGATTACAGCCAGGCTGCTTGGTCCTCACCCTGGGAGTGTATATTGCTAATATATTTTTATTTCTCTCCCTAGAACGTGTAAGAAAGCCATGGTCTGCATCTGAGGTGAAGGCTGTGGAGAAGACCATGACACCTTTCATACAGACTGGAAAGGTCCCTGGGAAGTCTCACTGCCTGGCCTGCATTAATGCCTCACCAGATGACCTTAGACATCGGACATGGAGTGGCATTAAATTCTATGTCAAAAATAGAATCACTGCAATTCGAAAACAAAATCTAAAATAAAATTCCTTTAAAATAGTTGTTTGGTTTCTATTGACTGTTTTGTATTACTTAAAGTCTTGGTAAAAAAAGATTATGTCTATGGGTCCCATTCTGAACGGCCCTGTCAAAGGGACCCACCAGGTAACAAAAACGTGTGTGTGTGTGTGTGTGTGTGTGTGTGTGTGTGTGTGTGTGTGTGTGTGTGTGTGTGTGTGTGTGTGTGTGTGTGTGTGTGTGTGTGTGTGTGTGTGTGTGTGTGTGTGTGTGTGTGTGTGTGTGTGTGTGTGTGTGTGTGTGTGTGTGTGTGTGTGTGTGTGTGAACATGCGTCTGTCTGCTGAGTATGGCTAAATGATGCCTCTTGAGCTATCCAAGGCTTTCAGTCAATTGTTCAAGTGTTGCTGCATTAGGAAACTACATTTCAATCGGAAAGACTTGCATTAGAATGTTTATTGTCAACGTTGCATGGTTAGACAAAATTGACGTTGTTATAGAAATCTTATAGTAAAGCAATCTGAATTAACATCAAATAGTTATAAGTTTAAGATATTAACTACTGTAATTCTCAACTGTGTATTCAAATACAGTACATATGATCTGTTGGCAGCAAGGTCAGCTGATAGATGGGAGACGGGTTTCTACATGTCTTCGGCAATATCTGGGCGGAAGAACAATGGGCCTCATTCACGAATAACTTCGTAAGAAACTACTCAACTTTCTTCTCAAGTTGTCCTTAAGTAGATTTCTAAGAAGTCCCCACGTGGGATTCATCAACGCACTCGTAAGCCGCTGAATTGTTCGCAGCTGTTCTCTCAGATTGATGAATCCCATTTCCTCGTAAGTACAGCGCGCGTGCCAGGTGCTTCATTAGCATAGGTACTTAGCATAAGTAACCGCCCACTAATGCCCATATAAGGGACTGCAGGGCCGTGTGCGGCCCTGCAGCAACAGGCCTAAAGCAAAGAGTTACACGGAGCAAAAGAGTCACCCTTTTTTCTTCTTTTACCAGACTGAGAATAAAGTTATAAAATGTTGACTTAAAAGTCGAAATATTATGATAATAAAGTCGAACTAGCAAAATTATGAGATTAATCTAAGAATATGATGAGATGAATCTCAAAATGTTATGAGCTTAATTTAAAAATATATTATGTATTATTTTAAAGATGAATCTCAAAATGTTTTGAGATTAATCTCAAAATATTTTGGACCCTGGGAAGAGATCCAGCGCGGACCAGCGCTGAGACCAATGCAGACCCGAGGAGAGACTGGAGTGACCAGCACACAGAAACCAGCGCGGACCTATAGGAGAGACCGCATAGACTGTAGTGACCTGACTGGAGAGACCGGTGCGCAGAGACCAGCGCGGACCGAAGATAGACCGCATAGACCAGACTTGAGAGACCAGCGCGGACCCGTATGGATCCAGGAGCATGCAGCACGGACCCGTATGGAGAGACCAGTGCAGACCCGTATATGGGAGAGACCAGTGCAGACCCGTCTAGATCCATGGGAGAGACCAGTGCAGACCAGTATAGATCCATGGGAGAGACCAGTGCAGACCCGTATATGGGAGAGACCAGTGCAGACCCGTATAGATCCATAGGAGAGACCAGCGCAGAGACTCAGCGCGGACCCAGTAACCTCCTGCAGCAGCAGTATATATGCCGTTGTTCTGTGGCCCGTGGATAAAGAAATGCCCCCTATAAATAGGAAGGGGTCACTAATACACGGCAAGATTTCCAATGTATTTGATAAAGCGTTGGCACATTTCATTTCAAAATGAATTAAAAAGTAGGCCAGATCTGCAGTGAAAAAGGCGGTATATAAATAAAGATTACTAATAAAGATTACTACAAATAAATAAATACATACATCGATATGACGGACATATCACTGGAATGTTGTATTTTTATTCAACTTCACCAAAGAGGACAACCCCGGCGTGTGAACATGTCGGCACTGAATGCGTACGAGTGCTCCTGAGGACTCGTAGGATTTGTACTTGCCCAAGAGAAATTCTGGTTACGAGAAATATTCGTGAATGCCACTTTCTTCGTAAAAACCGCGTAAGTAGGATTTACGTACAAATCTGTTCCTAAGAACCGTTCGTGAATGAGGCCCAATGTTTTCAAGTCAAAGCAGATTATTGAACTGTAATTTCCTCATTCGGGACAGACTGTTTCAGACTGCTGTCAGGTGGTATCGGTATCGGTTCTGTTATTCATTGTACTGTATATGTGCACATTTACTATGAATAACAGAACCGATATCAGTAACACCTGACAGCCGTCTGAAACCGTCTGCCCCAAATGAGGAAATTACGGACATCAAATAGACCAGAATAAACAAAGACATGTTGACTCTAGATATTACACAAATAAAGTCATAATTGATATGTGTTGCTCAAGGCCTCTCTTTGCACTTTCTTACGCTGATACAACTCTGATACTTGTAATAATCTGCTTTGACCTGTCCTTCCACCCAGATATTGCTGAAGACATGTAGAAACACGTCTCCCATCTATCAGCTGACCTTGTTGCCAACAGATCATATGTGCTGTGTTTGAATACTCAGTTGAGAATTAGTTATTAATTTGCACTTATAACTATTTGAAGTTAATTCAGATTGCTTTACTATAAAATTTCTATAACAATGTCAATTAAAAACACACAGTTTTTCACTCTGTTCCTGTCCGTCTGTGTCCCCTGTATCATATGTCTCGGGTTTGGTTGTAGACAGTGTTTTATTGAGCCTGCAGGTGGCAGCAGAGCTCTGTGGGTGTCTTGGTCAAAGATCACTGTCTGAGCACTCTGAGCAGGAGAGACAGAGGCGAAGCAGGCATGGAGGAATATAGTCAGGGTCAGGCTTCATTTGGAGCCAGTTTGAGCAGTAAATGTGTCTCCATAGCTAACAGAGACCATGTGGAGGGTCAGAGCAGCAGACCATGTGGAGGGTCAGAGCAGCAGACCATGTGGAGGGTCAGAGCAGCAAACCATGTGGAGGGTCAGAGCAGCAGACCAGCGGTGCACCCCAAAAAATAGCCACAGAAAAGTGGGTTATCGCTAAAACTATCACTGAGCCTGCACCAGGAGCCAGCGGCAAAGTCCAGTTATCGTCACAGCGCTCACTGGACCAAACAAAACCACACAAACACACTCAAACGCGCGCATAAATTGTATTGTATTGTATGTACTTTATTTGAACAGGGACAGTGTACAGTTAAGCATTAACACAAAAGGAGAGATGCATGTACCAGGTTATAGCAGAGATGCTAATTTCCACCTGTAGTCCCTGGGCACTACAGGTGCCCAGGGACTACAGGTGCCCAGGGACTACAGGACTACAGGTTCACATGCCCACAAAAACACACAAAGCCACACAAACAGTATTCTGTTGCACTTATAGTATAGGTATATAGTCTGTTCACTTTGATTTATTGTCATTTATACATTTTATGTTATTCTGTGATTTACTATTATTGACATAAATACAGCACGTTTTTTGGATGAGTACATTTTGAAACATTCGAACAGCACTGTGGATGTGAGCGTGTCATAAAACATTATTTTGCATCAAAAACACTCATAACTTGTTGCTGTTTTCTAACATGTAAGATCCTGGACATGTTTGAGGACTCGGAGATGCTAAATTTAAATAAATAGTGTTACAGTCACTTTTATGCAGGTTCGTCTGTTTTCACAAACACCTCATTTTTTCAGCTTTTTTCTAAGACTGGTGCTTTTTGTCACATTCCCCTCTTTTCAACTGGAGATCACAGGAGAACGAAACAAACTTATTTTTGCTGCTGAAAGTAGTCAGTCCAGTCTTTCAGACTCTTTCAGACTATTCTGCAAAGTCATCAAAAATGGCTGGCAGTCAATGAGCTAAACCCAGCAGACGCATTGATTGGGTGTTAATAAATGTATTGCAATTGAACATTAGACCCCGGCAGGAATACTTCATGGTCTTCCAGTCTGAATTTACGTTTAATCTTCATACAGGCAAAACTCTGACGATTACAATATTTTGGAAAGGGCTCAAAGTGTTGCCCTGTCAACACATAATTGATCCAAAACATCTGGATAGGGTTTGGCTCAGTGGAATTCACCATCATGAGGAAGACTGCTGTCAGATCAACCAGCTACAGGAGAGTTTTGTGCACTTCATGCTTCAGCAGACCAGCTTTACGGAGATTCTGACTGCATTTTCCAGCATGACTTGGCTTATGCCCACTGAGCAAAAAGTACGTCATCAGATTACTGTGGTTTAAGTCAATTCAATACAATATATTTTTGTATAGCCCTAAATCACAACAGCGGTCGTCTCAAAGGATTTTACAGTTGTCAATTTTCCAACGACGAACACAGGAAATTAAATCATAACAAACATGTAGGGATCCATAGAAAAGCTGATGGCCAATGTTAAGCGTTAATAAATATCCATACATGTCTTTAAAGTAGCGATATGTAAAAAATCTGGCCAAAAATGGTACTGCAACCTCTCCCACTCTCCCTGACTCAGGTTGCCAGATATGCAGACAAATCCAACTGGGACCAACATTTTTCAACAACAAATCTATAACCAACATCTTTTTCACAAAGGCCCTGATAGAAATCCTACTTTTATTCCTTGTTTTGCCGTTAAAGATTTAAGAATCATAATGAGACCTTTTTTAGATCTGTGTATTGAGACTCATGTCTCAATACACATACATTTTAAGAAAATTAATGTGATTTTGTAATTAGGTCTATCCTAAAATGTAGCTAGGAAATTACTACTTTGAACCTTCAGTCATTCAGTAACCTGACCACTGGGTACAGAAGCAGAGTTACTGGGGAAATCCCATAAAAATACAACATGCATGTGATTCAAGAGACATGCACTACATGTAGCAGATATTCTTTACTTATTTTATTGGGACAATTTTACATGTGAAACAATACATTTATAGCCATGGCTAATTCACTTCACCATGTCCAAAAGTAAGAGTCATGAAACCCTAGCTCTGCCAGTGCAGACATCTCTTTCAGAAGCAGCGCACATGAGAAACTGCTCATTTGCATAGACATACCCACTGCTCCACACCAGCGACATGCAGGACTACAACACACAGAGCTTCAGACATTACAGAGGTTTGACAACAGATCACACACTTAACTCAGGCTCAATGTTTATCAGAAACTCTTTCGGTATACTAAATTGTCAGTTTGCCAGTTGCAGATCAGAGAATCAAACAGTTAAAACATAGGAAATGCTACAATCACAAACACAAAGGGAGCCATTGGTCCAGGAGCATCAATTAGTTTAAGAAAAGATGTAATGTTGTTTCAGATAAAGCCTACTTATTTTGAAGTGACAAATTTGTTTGTAGGCCTCTATGATAGACTACATAGTGCAGTGTGACCGCCGTCTCCTGGATGATGCTGGCTTTGCTGAGAAGGCGCATGCATTCCATGAGCTCTGGGATGAGGTGTCGGGGGAGCTGCAGCAGGAGGAGGCAGCTCTGTGTGATCGTTCCCACTCCCTGAGCTCCTGCAGGCCCCTGTTCACCCTCTGTGCTGCTGTGTACAAAGCTGTCCAGCAGGTGGTGCTCTTGTCTCCGCTCTACTGCTACAGTCTGGAGCGCTTGGTGCGAGTGCTGGGGGCTGCGCTGTCTGGGGGGCTGCTGTCCCACTGTGCTCCCCCAGGGGCAATGGAGGAGCTCTCTCAGCGGGTGCTGTCGTGGGTGCTGCGGGACTACGAGCCCTGTCTGTTCAAGAGCCATGCACAGGTGTTTAAGGTGCGTGGTCAAAAGGAACACAAATGATGGTGATATGTGTTCAATAAAGCTGGAGTACCTCATAATCAATAGAAAGATAGAAAGTAAAATGGATAGATAGGTGAAGGTTATACAACTACACACACGTCACAAGAGGACAATACTTTGCATGTAATGACAGTGTAACAAGAGTGACGCTTGACTGTAACACGCACCGCTCATTCTCTTGTCAAAAGAACAGATTCAAAAATCTGCATTAAATAAGAAGCTTGCTTGTAGTCTAATATAATGCAATGCTCTGGGACCCTGGGAGCTCTGCTCTGTGATTGTATTAAAAACCAACACAGGACCAAACAACTATTGCCTTTCAACACAGTTTGTCAGCACCTTATGTAATGAACCCATCTAAATCTCTCTCAAAATGGTTATTTTATTTTATTTTATTAGTTTATTTAAACAGGGACAATGCACATTAATTAACATCACTGTAAATGTGCCAGTTTTAGCTCCAAAGCTAATTTTCAACTGTAGTCCCTGGGCAAGATGTAGATTGCCAACAATATATTGTTAGTAGTCACTAGTTTCCATATGCATGTGTTTTTGGTCTCTTTTCATGTTCGGACTGGTTAAATGTATTATTTAGGAAGCAAAAAAAAGTTTGGTACCCCAGCTTTAGGTTTAGTTTGAGTTAAAGTTCTAAGCCTTCATGTGCATGTGAAGGTGCTGCTGTGTGTGGCACTCCTCCAGCACAGACTGCTCTGCTCTCCAGCTGAACGGCAGCTCTTTCTCCGGGGGCTGAGGACCAAGGACCATCTCCACTCAGAGACCTGGACTGAGACCTGCCACACAATCTCCATAGAGTAAGTGTAGTGTCATTCACAAAGAGACAACTTTTTCTCATTTTGATTATTTACAACAATGTTGATTTGAGACTTCTAAGCGCATCATGTGACTTTTCTCAGGACAGAGTGTGTGTCTGAGAGCTACGCAGAGCTGCCTCCCTGGATCCCTGCGCTCACTGTCCCACAGCTGCGGTGCCTAGAGCAGCTGCCTGTCTTCCGGGACCTTCTGTCCTCCCTCAGTCATGCCCCTGAGCTGTGGCAGGAGTATATGAGGGTCCCCTCCACTGTCATCGGGCCTGTGCCGTTTGAGCCCTTCACACAGCTGTGTCTGCTGCAGCGAGCCTTGCTCTGGAGGCTCCTGAGGCCGGAGTGTTTGCAGAGGGTGGCTGAGGACATGTGTGCATGTGTTCTCAGTGAGGTCCCTATCTGCGGTGTACCCCAGGACCTGTCCCAGCTCCTGCTTCTTCACAGTGGCCCCATCATCCTCAGCGGGGCCCCTCACTCTGGCTCTGAGGCTCTGGGAATCATCACGCAGCTGGCCCTCCATGCACAGGTCACCCGTCATTTCACTGCAGTCTACTGTTTTAGTTATTAGACTAGAGCCACAACAGGAAGAAGGGCCTATTGCTTTTTTGCTCAGTCCTTCCTCCTTGTCACTGTCATATTTTCCCAAATATTCATTACCCATGCCTGACGGCACATGCCCAAACACTGATGAACCCATGCCAAAGGCATGGAACATAGAACACAGTAAATTGTAAAAAAAAAAAATATTATGTGAGACCCCCATCACAGTATTCCCAGGCCCTTCCCTCTCTGCAGCTGAGATTTAACGGGATTAAACTTTTATCTGCAGGTGTATCATTCTCTGTCTTTTAAAACCACTTTACTTCCATTGTTAAATGTATTTGGAGTTCTAAACCTCGCAGGATGTCATTTGCTTCTCCTGCCGATCGATAGGGTTGGTGGTTATTAGATGTCAATGCTCATCAATATAAAATATACTATAATATTTTGGAGGTATCTAAACGTCTAGAATGGGTCTGGAGGTTTCTAGAAATCTAAAATGGGAATGGAATTTTCTAAAAATCTAGAATGTGTCTGGAGGCTTCTAAAAATCTAGAATTTGTCCGGAGGTTTTTAAAAGTCTTGATTAAGTTATTCTCAAGATCACGTTTAAGGGCTAAAAAGAATACAGATGTTTTGTTGCCTGCTTGTTCTGTAGGTGTCAGTCAGAGTGCTCTGCTGCTGGGAACAAGCTTCACTCATCACGGCCTTGAGGAAGGCCCCAGACCAGGCCCTCTGGCTGGTGTTGAAAAACGCTTACTTACTGGAGCCATGGGACCCTCTGTGGCCCCAGATACACCATCTCATTCACCGATCAAAAGGTATGTGAAATGTTGTGAGTAGTAATGCAACGACCATATTTTCTAACCACGGTTCCATGAAACCGTGGTTCTTTTCTGATTGTTCTTAGAAACGATACAGAAGTAGAACTCACTATGTTACTATATAGGAGTAAAAATAGTCTTATTATTATCTGACTACATTATTTGAAAAGCAAACCAGCTTAACTAATAACTTGTTAACTTCCATATTGGTGCATGAGAAGTACACTGTAAATAAAAAATAATACCACCCAGGTATTTCAAACATTTAAATCTTTCTGCTCTGTGTTGTCCAGAGTGGTGCTGTGTCCCAGTTGATGTGCTCTCTATTGTGCAAAAGACAAAGACCGATTCCAATTTAGATTTTATTTATTTCCATATGCAAAAGCCCCTAGAGTGCAGCAAAAGTGAGTGAAAATAAAAGATTACCAGAGTACGAATGCAGCCTTGTATAAAACCAACTAAACAACAGTTACAGCTCTATTTGGACTTGGACATGGACTGTCTGATGTGACACAGTTTAAGTATCCTTATTTATGTGGTACGACCATAGACTGTAAATATTAACGGACGTAGTCACGCCTATCTCCACCGTTCTAACTAATGTGCCACAACTTCCGCGGTCTATGGGCAGTTTCAAAATGGCCGCGGGGGCTGGAAAATGTGAAAAGACGCATCTGCACATGCGTCAGCCGGCACGAGCTCCATTCATTTAAACGAGTGCCTTCAAAAATTCACAGCGACTAAACTAGACTGGTCCAAAAAATGTCACCCCCCTCAGCATTGACACACATGTGGAAAAGGAACTTTGGGCCAAGAACCGACTTTTGGACCATCCTGTAAAGACTTTTTTGAGAGGTCAGCTAATGCTATATATAGCAATGGCTAATTCTTATTCCGGGTCCACCCCCATCGGCCTGGGGTGGTATTGCAAGCATGTCCGCGCACGTCATTTTGGCCACTTTTGAGTTTATACTCTTTAAAGCTATCAATTAAATTCATGAAAAAAGTTTGTGCAGCTAAATCAATACTAATTGAATTCCATCTAGAAATATCCATCCATTTTCCATCCATTTTCTACCCTTTTAATCCATTTCTGAGTCAGGGGGGGTGGCAATCTGAGATGCCACCCAAGTCTCATAGCACCAGCCCCTCACTGACCCTCTGCAGGTGGTGAGTCCACAGGAGGACGGCTGCTCTCTGAGTGTGAGCATAGCCTTGATCTTTCAGTGGGGGGGCTTTCCATCTAGAAATAAATGACTAAAAAGAAGTGCATTATCTGTCTTTCCCAGTGGGGGCGGGACCTGGTTTAAAAAGGTCCATGATCACGTAAGCTGACATGCTTGGAATCTCACACATTGTCGGTGGGGGTGTACCCAGAAAAAGAATTACCCAATGTTTTAGCATGCCGCCTTCTTTCTCTCAAAAACAGCTTTACAAGATGGTCCAAAAGTCGGCTCTTGGCCCAACACTACGTTCCAGATGTGTGTCAATGCTGAGGGTAGTATTTAATTTTGGACCAGCCTAGTTTAGCTGCTGTAAACTTATAAATGCACTTGTTTTCCTGCTCCGTGGCTATTTTGAAAAAGCCCTCAGAAGGTTCAACAGCTGAGATAGACGTGACTGTGTCCGTTAACATTTACAATGGTCTTTCTATGATAAGAAACTGCTGAAAATGTAGATCTGGTTAAAAATCTCTCTTTTGACATATTGGTCTTAGTGCTGTTGGCCCATTTACTTTCATCACAAAGTAAACTCATCTTTCTCTGTAACCGTTAATGGTACTGTTTTGCGCTGACAAAATAATGGTTTAATATTCTGAACTGGAATATTCTGAACTGGAACATGCCGGTACACACCATGTGGCCCCAAGCCTAACCCAAAAACAAGGTTTTTTTTTTCTTCAAGAAAGTGTCCTTCCTACCATTTGAGAACTACTGATCCGACTGGCCCCGCTCCTGATTGGTTATTTGGGGAAACACTAAGGATGACGTCAGCAGTCAGTGACCCCTCTCCTTCTACTGTCTGTTGTTTGAAATGTTGCTGTTTTCTCTGCAGGACGTTCGGAGGAACCAAGCCACAGAATGTTGCAGTTCTGGTTCATTGTCCCTGAAAAGCACATTCTCCGAATACCAAGTAAGCACTGCTAACACACATTAACATTACTCCCTTTACTGCACTTATATTATTTATATATATATATTATAGAGTAGTATTTTTAAGAAAGATTATGTAGATTTTGTTTTATTTTTATAAACAATTATTTGATTTTTACTTTTATAACTTCTTATAAGAAATAAAAAAACTTGTTTGCACCAATAGCCAAAACAATTTCCTAGTTTGTGACTCCTTGTTGCTCACAATGGCAATAAAAATACTGATTCTTATTTCATGTTTTTAAAAACTTACAATAGAGCAGAGATGTTAAAGTTACAAAATACATAAGAGGGCCAAAAAAAACAATTTGCTGTAACCCAAGGGCCGGACTGGTTCAATGTTTTTAAAACATATTAAAATGATTGCATCAGTCATAAACAACCATTAATTATTTGAGAAAATGAGTCACAGGTGCTCAAGAGTTCTAGTTTAATCCGCCAGATTAAACTCGAACGCTTGCATTTCAAAATGCTTAAGGCTGAACTGGACGAGTGGTGAGTTCTCAGCATGTGTGTGCTGTGTGTCTTCAGTCTGTGTGCGACAGAGCGCTCTGGCCGTGGCTCTGGACTCCTGTTGGACTCTAGCAGAGCAGGTGCAGCGCTCTATGAGGCAGATGAACGTCTTCTCCCACAGGGGGCTCCGGAGCTGTGTCCTCTTCCACTCTGTCCTGATACAGCGGCAGACGGGACCAGAGCACTCTTATAACTGGTGACATCCGCTGACCTTTTAATATATATTACAGAATATTAACCTTTCCTTTCCAGCCTCTTAGTCCAGCCTCAAATCCAGGCTTTACTCTAGGTTCTAGTGTAGGTTCTGGTCCAGCCCCCAGTCCAGCATCCAGGCTCTACTCCAGACTCTAGTCCAGACTTTATACAATACAATACACTACAATTTATTCCTGTATAGCCCTAAATCACAACAGAAGTCATCTCAGAGGACTTAACAAAACCATTGGAATTACCAACACAGATCAGAGAATCAAAAAACACATAAAGAATATAGAACACATGTTGATAAATGTCATAAATGTTGTAGAATGTCCTGGATCATCACCACAGTCCTTTTTCTTAGACACTAACTGCCCAACAGACCCTCCTGCATCAGCAACGGAAAACTCACAAAAACCCAGTGGGAAAAAAGTGAGAAACCTCGGGGAGACCCACAATTTGAGAGAGGGATCCACTCCACACGGACGGACGGGCTAATGATCCAGGACCTAAGTTACAGAACAAGGACCAGGGCCACGCAGCGGCCACAGAACGTGGACAGGCTTCAAATCCAGGCTCTAGTCCAGGCTCTAGTCTACGTTCTCGTTGAGGCTCTAGTCCAGGCTACAGCCTACATCACACTGGCATGAACATTCTTCCATGAGTCTGATTGCTGCATGTGTGCTCAGGTGTGGCAGTGACCTCCAGGCTCTAGTCCAGGCCTACCGTGACATCGCTCCTCTGTGCAGTGACCATGGGGGGGCGCTGCTTTACCTGGCAGGTAAAGCAATTTTTTTTTAGGGTGGGCTGGAGTGGCCCTGGGCCTGGCCATTGAGCAGTCTTCTGTGCCCACAGTGAGCCTGGTGCACGGAGCCCATGTGCTCGACACGACTCACTTGGAGGAGATCCGGAGTGTGGCTCAGGCCTACCTCCTCTCTGCATCACAAGGTAACCACGGTAACTACTGCATCTCCTCCCTGCATCACTCCCTTGGTCAGAGGTCACAATAAACTTATTTGGAATTGACTTCTACTCCTCACTTGAAAACAAATGATCCTTTCTACTCCTTACAGTTTGAAATGTATACAATGGTCCGTGGTTTATCGCTGGGTTACGTTCCAAAAATAAACCGCTGAAAGTGACTAGTAATGGCGAAAGTAGCTGCTGTATGTGCAAAGGCTGATAAAGGCTCACCACACACTTTATACACAAACCTGTGTATTGTAGGTCTGAGCGCTGCTGCAGCTGTCAAAAGCCATGCATATACCAGGTTTACTTTTGAATGGGCTGGAAATGGCAGCAAGTGGCTCTGAAACAGTTGTTGTTTTTGTGCTTTACAATTGTTATTTTTATTTTCATAGTTTTGCTCTGGTGCAGACCAGAGCAGAGAGTATTCATGGTTTGAACCAAGCGGATCAGGCGAAAATCCACTGGAGGAATGCTAACTTTTTTTAAAATGATAACAAAGCTTTCAGCATTTTTCTTCGGACCAGAGCAGCGAAAATAGCCCGAACTAAGCGGTGCCACCTCTGCTGTGACCTGAAGGACTGTTGCTTATCATTACTTATACTATTGTCAGCTTTTTAGAATAATCAATTCATTTGTTTTTTTTTTTTGTGTGGATGTGTGTGTTTTTGTTGCTACTTGACATCTGAATTTCTCCTACGGGGATCAATTAAGTATCTAACTACCTAACTACACTGAATAATACAGCTGCAGAGGACAGTGCTGATGGGCAGGAGCAGGGCTGAGGTAGTCGTCTGAACTAACCACTGCACTGTCATGTTATACTAGCAGTTATTCTGAAGTTGTAGGAGTATGCGGTGCATGAGAAGCACTCTGTAAAGAAGGAAACACACAAAAAATCTATGAAATAGTAAAAGGTGACGTGCGTTTAGGTGAGGGACCACTGTAGTTAGTTTTAAAGCAATTTTGTGTGTCCAATGTAGTCCATGGACCAATGGTGGTTAGCCAGTTCTAAGTTAATTAAAACTCTACACATAGTGCTGTGCACGGTGATTCACAGACAACATGAATAGATACAGTATGTATTGTCTGTATATTATTGAGAAAGAAAATGTATTGTGCTTTTTCTCTAAATACTTATTTCAGTAAAATTGAGTATTTAGTAAACGTAATACCAAAACTGGGGTAAGAAGTTTAAAAATTTTAAAACTAGCCTCACAAAAAAAACACACACACAAACAGTTGTCAGATACATGTATTTAATACTTGTGTTTCAATGTAATGAAATTCCTTTTTGTATACCTAACTCCTGCTGTTATTTATCTCTGAGGACTTTACAAAGTTGTTATTTGCCACACAATCATATTGTTCAAACACAGAACATGCAATAACTACAAACACATAGAGCCTCCGGTCCATTAGGGGCAGATGACCAATTTCTATCAATGTTAATAAGAGTTGAGATTCTTTTCATATCAGTGATTTCTGTGAGCATGTTGTTTTGTCTCTACAAGCACAAACTGTTCAAACATTGCGTAAATTAAAACCTCTTGAACCCCCACACTGACCTGGTCCATTTGGGGGTCAGGTCGACGGATGAACTGCAGTGTGTTTAAAGCTAAAAGGCCTTTCTGTGGTGTGTGTGTTTTCAGAGTGGTCTTTTCTGGACACGGCTGGTCAGAGAGACAGCTGCGTCCCTGTCCCCGCCCTGGAGGCTCGCTCTCTGGGCTTTGGCGAGCACGTCATAGAAGAACGGCTCCAGAAGAAGAGCCACACACTGGATGTCCTGCTGCAGGCCTCCCAGGGGACATGTGTAGGGGACATGTCCAACAGGACCGGGGCTGTCCCTCTTCTACAGCGCCTCAGGGCCCTAGAGGCGCACATGAGGGTCTGCACAGAGGCCCCAGAGCCCAGGCCTGGGCCTCTGCAGGACTTCCTTCAAGGAGAATGGGAGACACTGAGACATGTGGTGTCCTCAAGGCTCTCCCCCATGTCCCCACCCCCCTCAGAGGCTGAGCTGAAGGTCAGCTTTCTTTTGACATAATTCAATGATAAAGAATTGAAATGATACAGTTTAATGTAATCTGTAAACATCTAACTCTCTAAATACATTACCATGTATACCACGGGTCTCATTTTAGCTTGGGGCCGTACAAGGTCAAGTCTGGATTAACCTGGGCGGTAATTAAGGGGGACATTTATCACATGTTTGTGTGTGCCAAAAATATGAATATTGGAGAAAATGGATCTATGCATATACAGAGATAGAATGAAACCACAATAATTGCATGAGCACCGGTGGTCCATGAGCATGTGCGCTGACATGCTTGCTATCTCACTGCTAGCCGGTGGGGGTGGACCCGGAATAAGAATTACTCAATGCTTTTGTATGGCGCCTTCTTTTCTCCCAAAAGCGGGATGGTCGGCTCTTGTTGGCTCTTGGAAAAAGCTACGTTCCAGATGAGAAGATTATTTTTTTGGACCAGTCTAGTTTAGCTGCTGAGAGCTAACACATGCGCAGATGCGTTTTTTCACATTCCTGCCCCGCAGCCATTTTGAAAGAGCCCACAGAAGGCAAAAGTATTGGCACATTAGTTTCAACGGCGGAGATAGCCGTGACTACATCCGTTAATATTCACAGTCTATGCTTTACACACACGGTTTACCGCCAGGATTGACAAGTATACCCCTATGTCTCAATCAGACCAATCTTCTCATTCATTAACTATAGAGTAGAGAAAGTAAATGTTTATGCTTGTAGAACAGAGAGGGCAGGAAGAGTCAGCTTTAAACCTGGTTAAGTTCTTGTTGGTTTAGTCCTGAACTAAACCAGGGCTGAACCAGGATTGATAATGGCGGACACATATGCCTTCACCCGAGTTGACATTCTACTGTGACTGGATACAAGTGCAGCTAACGTGATAAGGAAGTACCAGTTAATTCTGCATCAAAGCCCATCCACTTCCAGCACTGCGTTTTGCCGCATCACAGCGCGTCATAAAAGCCTTCAGCTAGTTTGATTTCCTCCAAACACAACAAACATAAAGTCATCTTGGAAGAGTCAGTTTAAAACATTTATATGGAACTGTGTGTTTTAAATAGTGCCATGTGGTGATTGAAACCCTTCATGTGCAGCACTTGGAGAGGAGAGTGGAGCTGCTGACCTCTTACCTGTGGCAGTGTGAGAGTCTGCAGCCACAGGCCCTCAGCCTCTCGGCTCTCTCCAGACCACAGGGCTTCCTGCTCAGCCTGAGGAGACATTATAGCCAGGCCCAGGGCACCCAGCTCAGCCACACTTCACTGCTGTTCCAGGTACCAGCCTGATCTTATGAAAGGATTAGAAAAGCTCATGAATATGACACCACATGACTACAACCATTTACTACTTACTGTAGAGGAATGACGTGGATATCACACACAACTGGGGGGTTACGTCTTATAGGATTAGTGTTTGCTTATTTGTCTGGTTAGAAAATATATAAAATCTGGTTTTATCTGGTGTGCTGATTTAGTTTCTGTTACTAACACAATGACACAAAAACTGCGTTCAAATATTGGCCTGTTTGTTACTGTCAAGGTAAATGAATTAAAGCTGCACTAACTGACTTTGGGATTTTGAAGCCGCGGACCCACTGGCCTCTCTCTCTCTGCTCCCCTCCCCGCACCCACGAAGCTATCGCCCCACACACACACCCACTGTTGGGACGGAGCTAGCGTCTCCCAATATGGATAATACATGGATATGGATTTGCACTTGGATGGCGTGACCATAGAACGATAGAACCGGGAAGCGCGGAGGAACGGGACTTTCTTTTGGATGGCTGTTTCGCTGTGTAAGCAGTAACCGGTGACGAAGACACACGAAGTTTCAGGTTAGCTCCTCGGCTTGTTGTGCTAACTCAGCTGTCTATGCTAACAGGGACCTGTAGATTTCTCACGAAAGTGGGGGCCTGTGGTCCACTGTGATTGGTCACAATCTGCAACCCGAAACACATTCTCTTCCTTGTTTCATCAAAACTCGATCTAAAATATAATGTCACGCCAGCACAAATCTGCGCTACTTTTTCTTCAAAATGATGTATATCCCAATGCACTACATGGACATGGATAGCATTTTCGTAATGAATACAAAAATAAAGTCAGTTAGTGCAGCTTTAATCCCTGTCTAGTTTCCTCTAATCCAAGTTTGTTGTTGGAAGCACTGTGCAATAAGCCAAAAGAGAGAAATGTTTATGCGTCAGCAGGCAATTATTGCAGATCACAAATAAAGTTACGTGGCCACAGGGTTTAACCAAGTAGTCTTCCTCCGTCTTAGCTGCTAACCCAGTGTGTGTACTAAAGCCTAGCGTACATCGGACTGGCAACTAATTATATCCGTCCCCTCTGAGTTGCTGCCCCGCACACATCGACAATCTGACGAAAACGGGCAACTCCCAGTCGCAGACCAGTCTCGGGAATAACAGCGCGTACATCGACAGCAACTGGCCTCAACTACAGTGTGTTTTCTGACATAAACTGTTGCGGGCTCGCAATACACGCAATACACACACGTTGTCGGAGCGGCGCATGGAGCGCGCACATCGGGTCATATCTCCGAAACTGAGGACAACTAGTTGCCGAAAAGTAGAACACGGGCAACTGACTGAAACTGGAGACCGACTGATCATCTCCAGTTGTAAGAGCGCGCACATCGACCGATTTCAACTGATCATCTCCATCATCTCCTCTCAGTTGCCAAAAGCCGCCTTGCAACTAGTTGTCCCCAGTTTCTCTGTCGATGTACGCTAGGCTTAACAGATATAGGTGCTGGCCCCTGGGGCGGCCCTACCCCGAATCTTCATCAGCAGCTTCTCACGCTGAAAAATGTCTTCCTTTCTAATGTCCCTGTTCTACACAGTAGCAACACCATGTCTATGGAAGATGTTATATTTCTGCTCAGCTGTTACAAAACAATACAATTTATTCTTGTATAGCCCAAAATCACAACAGAAGTCATCTCAGAGGAAAGAGAACCATTGAAATCACCAACACAGATCAGAGAATCAACATTTAAGACACAGAAAATACACTTTGACCAATGTCTATGAATGTTGTAGCATGTTAAAGTGTCCTGGATCATCACCACAGTCCTTCTTGTTTGACACTAACTGTCCAACAGACCCTCCTGCATCGGCAAGGAAAAACTCACAAAAACCCAGTGTTCTTCCCACAAAGTGACTATTGTTAAACAAATATGTCTTGATGTATCAAAATAGAGATTCAAAGTTGTCTTACTGTATGCATGTGTGTGCCAAATATCCTGACTTAAAGTTTATCGCAGTTTTTTGGGAACAGTCTGAAACTGTCGCTGTAGGAGCACGTTTGTTTAATGCACTTTGTGTGGATGTGCACGAGAGGCCACACACAGTGGCTAAAAGACCTCCTCTCCATTAAGCAAGTGCACACGCCACAGGGTTTAGCTCAGGCAAGAATGACCACCACCGAGTTACATGCTATAAGGACTGTTGCTTTTCACTCACAGCTAACTTCTATCCACACGACCGGACCCAGACCCAGACTCGACACAGTGGCCCTTTCTGGACCGGTTTGGTCACCTCTGATTAGGGCCCTTTTATGATGACAGATAGGGCCCATTATGATTAATAGATTAGGGCCCTTTAATGATGACAGATTAGGGCCCATAAATAATAAATAAATAAGTGCTGGTGGGGCCATGGCACAGTCTCCCCCTTCACTTTCACTGTCCGTCCTAGTCATGGCTCTGCGTGCGGCTTTATTAATTAATTTTGCATTCTCCTGTCTAGCGGTCTCGTATTCATGGGTCCTACTTGGGGTTTCTTCTCTCTCAACTCTGTCTGTGGTGCATTCAAAGGTTGGCTTTCTAGCTCTACAATTTCTGAGAGATTGTAAGAGCTCATCTGGAATGGGTGGGAATTGGTGAGGGGTGTGTGGGAGCTGTGACGGGCTGTTGACAGCTGGATTTTGACTCGGATCTCTATTGTCCCCCACAGACTCCTCTTCTGTCCCTTTGTCAAATTCCCTGTCTGCAAAGTCATTGTCCCATCTCTTTTCTACCGTCACTTCTCCTGAGAAAGCATATTGTGGCAGTTGTAGATTTGGCTTACCTGGTTCTAAACCCAGAGAATACTCTGGTGGAGCCGTGGGTAGGAATGGGTATATATTACTCACCGGCGTTGCTCCGTTTTGTGTTTCCTTGTCTTTACTTACCATAGGTAATTTTGCCAACGCCGTGGCAGCCAGAGCAAAGTTGTGTACCTTGGTCCTCAGTTTCTCAGCCTTTTTTAGTTCCTTCTTAATTTTTCTACGCTCATTCCAACTCTCCCCCTGCTTTCCCTCGAGCTCTTGTTTCTCCTTTATTAAATTATTTTCCTCTTCCCGCAATATTTTAGCTAATGCGGACGCTGTCATATACTCAGGTATGACCCTTTTGTTCTGTATTTTTTCCCATGCTTTCACAGCCTTTCGTTTTGCCTTGTTCCTATGCTCTTTATCCAGACCACTCAGAATCTGAGCCTCTATCTCTCTATAGAGCTGCGCGATTTGAATGCCTGTCTCCATTTTTCGGGGGGGCCCAAAATCCCCCAGGCTCCAATGGGTTAAACCTAACTTGTGTGTTGACGCGTCCGTCAACCACGCTAGTCACAGCGGGCTTTCCTGTTTCTGAAAAGGCTCTCAAAAATCTTTACTTTTTATATTCTTGCAGGGTTCTAACTACTTAGACTCCTATTTTATTTTATTTTAACGTATTTTTTGCAAGGCTCTCACTACTTTTTAGGCTTTTACTATTTTTACTTTTTGAATTAGCTCCTCCGTGGACCGAACTTCTCTCCCCTTGATTTGGTTTAGTCCAATATGCAGATTTTTAATTAGTCAAAAGGTATCTGCTTACCTTCAGTTCAGCGGCCGCTTGAGGAGAGACGTAGAGTCCAGGGAGAGGTTGAGAGTCATCAAGGGATCACGTCCGGGGTCACCAATTAACGTATTAAAAAAATGACGTGTTCAAAATCCCTTATAAAGATGACCAAGATTCAGGAAGTTAAATTCAAAAAGGTTTATTTCCCTAATACAAAAAGAATCTAAAACAGCTGTCCGGACCAAAAGTAACTATCCCTTATTCTCTATATAAAGTATAAAGTATAACTTTGGGTGGGCGCTCCACACAAAGTCACACTGCTGTCCCTGGTCCGGTCTAAAAAAACTAACTTAACACATTCAAGCTATTCACTATAAGTAAATGTGCAAGGGGAAGGGGCGTGTTGTATCAGGCAGTTCCAGGGTCACGGGTCCATCAGGTCTTCTCCTCCGTCTCGCCAGACCTAAACAGAAATCATTCATACACTACCCCTCCCTAATTCTATAGAAATATTACTTCCTTGAGATAAGACAGGAGGACCTCAAGGCTGTCCCTCCAGATTCTGGGTCCATCTCCTTCTTCAAACAACTTAAAAAGATTAGCAAATCTAGGAATGCAGATCTTGGCCCCCCCAGATTAACTATCATTAACTCATATTCTGCACTTTTGGACTACAAAGGAGAAAGGGAGACCAGGTCTTTTTGCTTAGGAAAGAGACAGAGTTCAAATCAGGGTCAGTCAAATGCACATCTGCTTTTTAGTCTATATTTAATACAACAGCAGAGATGCCCAGACTTCCCTATCCACACACACCTCCTCCAGCTTGTTCGGGGGGGACCCCAAGGCGTTCCCAGGCCAGCTGAGAGACATAGTCCTTCCAGAGTGTCCTTGGGTCTTCCCCGGGGTCTCCTCCCGGTGGGACATGCCCAGAACATTTCACCAGGGAGGCATCCCTAAGGCATCCTGAGTAGATGCCCCGAGCCACCTCAACTGGTTCTTCTCGACGTGGAGAAGCAGCAGCTCTACTCCGAGCTTGTCCCGTGTGACTGAGCTCCTCACCCTATCTCTAAGGGAGCGCCCAGCCACTCTGCGGAGGAAGCTCATTTCGACCGCTTGTATCCGCAATCTCGTTCTTTCGGTCATTACCCAAAGCTCATGACCATAGGTGAGGGAGGGAACGAAGACTGACCGGTAAATTGAGAGCTTTGCTTTTTGGCTCAGCTCTTTCTTTACCACGACGGTCCGATACAGCGACCGCATCACACGCTGCACCGATCCGCCTGGCAATATCACTCGTTCAAGATACTTGAACTCCTCCACTTGAGGAAGGACACCCACCTGGAGAGGGCATGGCCCCTTTTTTCCGTCGAGCACCATGGCCTCGGATTTGGAGGTGCTGATTCTCATCCCAGCCGCTTCACACTCGGCCGCAAACCATCCCAGTGCATGTTGCAGGTCCTGGTTCAGTGGAGCCAACAGGACAACATCGTCTGCAAACAGTAGGTATGAAATCTTGTGGTCTTCAAACCGGACCCCCTCCGACCCCCGGCTGCGTCTAGAAATTATCTCCATAAAGACAGTGAACAGAACCAGTGACAAAGGGCAGCCTTGCCCTTGGCGGAGACTTGCTGCCGGCAATGCAAACGCAGCTCTGGCTCCAGTCATACAGGGACGGGACGGCCCTCAGCAGAGGGAACCCCCCAATGGACACCCCGGGGAACACTGTCGAACGCCTTCTCCAAATCCACAAAGCAGCTGTCCGGTTCAGTGTTCCATGACTGGGACGAAAACCACACTGCTCCTCCTGAATCCGAGATTCGACCATCAGTCGTAGTCTCCTCTCCAGTACCTTGGAGTAGACCTTAACGGGGAGGCTGACTACTCTGATCCCACAATCATTGGAACGCACCCTCCAGTCCCCTTCTTGTAGAGAGGGACCACCACCCCGGTCTGGCACTCAATTGGCACCGTTCCCGATCGCCACGTGATGCAGAGACGTGTCAGCCAAGACAGTCCTACAACATCCAGAGACTTTAGATAGTCAGGACGGATCTCATCCACATCCTCTGCCTACGGGACGGAGGAGGCGACGGGGGGATTGAGGAAAAACTCCAAGTATTCTTTCCACCGTCCGACAATATCCCAAAGTACTTCACAAAAACTTTGCATTGTGTTGGTCACGTGACTTGTAATCAATGTGTGCATCTTGTGGTGCAAATTAAAATCTTTTGGGAGTGAAAACTGTGCAGAGTCATCTCCATTTTGTCAATTCTAATTAGGGCATAATTAAGTATACACCACCAACTCCCACTGGTCTGTTACCGGTGTGTCCTTGGGCAGGGCACTTAACCCCACTTTCCCTGAAGCCCCCCAACCCAGAAATGGATTAAGGGGTAGAAAATGGATGGATTCATGTTAATTACTCATAGACTGTATATAATAATAGACAGAGTCACGCCTATTTCCGCCGTTCATAGGAGTTGGCCATGAAAAGTGCTTTCATGGGGCAATCCAAGATGGCCACGAGTGGTCCCAACCCACAAGAAAATTGTGGAAAAACGCATTTGCGCACGCGTCAGCCGGCGCAGCTCCATTCATTTGAACGAGAGACTTCAAAAATTCACCGTGAGTAAACTAGAGTGGACCAAAATAATTCACCCCCCTCAGCATTGACACACATGTGGAACGGAGCTTTGGGCCCAGAGCCAACTTTTGGTCCATCCTGTAAAGATGTTTTTGAGAGGTCTGCCAATGCTATATGTTAGCATTGGCTAATTCTTCTTCTGGGTCCACCCCCATCGGCCCGGGGTGGTATTGCAAGCATGTCAGCGCACGTCATTTTGGCCACTTTTGAGCTGGGACCCGCCCCCACTGTAATTACTCAACCAACTAATGATTACTATTATAGGAGAAATATTCAGCAATATCAACTTTTTAACCAGCTTTTAACTTTTTTTTTCAAAAAGGAAAGGGGAGAGAGGAAAAAGGAGTTTGTATTTGTTGTATTTTAAGCCTGATTTTGCCCTCACAGCGGCTATTTACAGCTCCTCCTAGCGCACATCAGGATCAAATGTATTATCAGAGAGATGCACAAACTAGGAAAACACAACTTTATATTTCTGCCCCAAGCACAACAACGGTACAGAAAGAACATACCCCTGTATACATGTTTAAACAGGAGGAGTCTAAACAAATGCTGTGCACTCACGCTGCTGCACTTTCCCTCCTCTCTCCCCTTTCCTCTCCTCTCTCCACTCTCCTTTTTCCTCTCTCCACTCTTGTTTCCTCTAACCCCTCTCCTTTTTCCTCTAACCTCTCTTCTCTCTCCCCTCTTCTTTTTCTTCTAACCTCTCCCCTCCTCCTGCTCCTGGTGGGTAATATTGGCTTCATAACGCCAAATTCTCCTCTTTTGAGTTTATTGTTATTGGAAAAGTGTACAACAAAATGTATATATGTGTGTGTGTGTGTGTGTGTGTGTTTGCAGGCTGATGCAATGCAAACTCCTGTTTGGCTCCAAGAAGCTGCTGATTCTCTTCACCTTCCTAGTTTTCTGTTTCACCGTATTATGGTGGAACCAACAGCTCCCGAAAGACTACAAACAAATCCTCAACCAGAACCTGTATACCTGGAGAGAATTTAAACAACTCCACTTCAAGAAACTTCAAAGACCCAGTCCTGAACCAGTGCTGGTACAGGCCAGTACTGCAGCAGTAACCCTTGCTATGGAGACAACAACAGCAGCAGTAGATACCCCTTTAGTGGCAACTGAAGGCCCTCCCAAAAATTCTCTGGCAGTCAGTCTCAAATCAAATTTACCTGTTCCGGTGACCCAAGGTCCTACCAAACCTATCCCTCCTGTTCCGACAACCAAAGCCCTTTCCAAACTGAAAAATGTACCTAAAATCCTTCCTAAACCAACCCCAGCTCCTTCCAAACCTGAACCCCCAGTTCTGGCAACCCCAGCTCCTTCTATACAATTTCACCAGGCCTATGCACCCAACTATAACTTCATCATGGACCACTTGGATGCATGCCAAAACCCTCCCTTTCTGGTCCTCATGGTTCCTGTGGCACCAAAGAACGTGGCAGCTCGTAATGCCATCCGCCAGACATGGGCAAAGGAGCCGTATGTGCACGGGAAGAGGGTGCTGACAATGTTCATGCTGGGACAAGCTGGGGAAGACCCGCAGAGTCTTACTCAGGAGGACAATGAACACCACGACCTCATCCAGAGTGACTTTGTAGACTCTTACTTGAACCTGACTATCAAGACTATGGTCATCATGCATTGGGTGTCCACGCACTGCGCCAACAGCACCTTCGCAATGAAGGTTGACTCTGACATGTTTCTAAATGTGGAGAATCTTGTGGATATGCTGAAATTGCCTCAAATACCAACAATCAACTACTTAACAGGAAGGGTGATGAGGGACATCCGTGTCATCCGTGCCAAACACTCCAAATGGTACGTTCCAGAGGAGCTGTACCCAGAGCCAAAGTACCCCCTCTACTGCTTAGGGATGGGCTACATCTTATCCAGCGACCTCCCAGTTCGATTAGTGGAGGTGTCCAAAGAGATCACACCTTTTAACATTGAGGACGCATACATAGGGATGTGTATGAAGAAGCTAGGCCTGAGTCCGACTGCTCCGCCCCAGCCTGGACAGTTTCAGGCTTACAACTCCAAGTATGACCGCTGCAGGTTCTCCCAGGTCATAACCTACATCCTGGGCTCCTCACAGCAGCTGCTACAGTACTGGGACGATTTGAAGAAGCCCGACCCACCCTGTCCCCAGTGAGATCCAGATTTCCAGACAAATCCTTATCTTTGGCACTATTTGGGGCTCACAGCCTTTAACTCTTACTTGAATGTCCAGCAAGTATAAATAAAATGGTACCTACAAATATTTTCTAGCCTTGATGGACAGACTGTGTCCTGAATCATTACTACTACCAATATAGGATATGTCATTATATCATGACACACAACTCAAGAGTCTTATGTGTAAATCATGATTATTTATTTATTTTATTTGAGCAGCATTTGCACCATTGTTTTTGCTGTGAAATTCCAACCGCTTGACTATGAGAGTGAGTAAGAGTAATTATTTTGCTCTTCTGGGTATGATCCTTGTTATTGTATACCACACACAGAGTAAGGGTGGTAGTAAATACAGAAATTAACAGACAATAACTGGCAAGGCAGGGTATTTGAATCCAAAAATAAGATCATATAAGAGAACCACTATTCGTCCCACAGATTACATTTAGTGCCCTAGATGTGCATGGAAAGAAAGCATTGTATGCATGAGAGCACAGAACTAAGAAAATCACACAAGAGCCATATCTATTAATTAAGATAATCCCTCTAATAGATCTTTGTGCTTATGCGTCCATAGGAAAACAACACAGGAAGGATGACGTTACATGGCCTCCAGAACCATGATTTCCACAGATATTTACAATTACAGTACAACACTATTTGGGAGATACATTTAAAACAATATGCTTTAGAATCATGGCCAGAGATAATAAAAGTTGTGATGGATGCATATGGATCACAATCTGGAAGCAGAGTTATTTCTAAGTTATACAAGATTCTGGAGGACTTAAAAGCTGATGACACTATATATGTCAAAGAGAAGTGGGGGAGGGAGGCAAATAGTCATATCAGGAGGGGGATGGGTGGAAATAAATCAATATCAGTGGAAAGCCATTATCATGGGGAGAATAGAGATGGAAGAATACACCAAGGTATTTTGCAGCTTCTGCTCAGAGAGAACATGGAGAAACAAAATGTTGGAGGTCTTGTGGTGAAACGAAAGCAGATTACTGCCAAATCTTTTGGGGATGCTCCCTCATAACTTAGAAGTAAAAATTCCAACCAGCTTTGAGATGAGGTATCTGGGGAGAACAGAATTTAAATTTTAAAAGAAGGAACGACTACAAAATGTTACAAATAAAGTTGTTGGCCAGTAAAAAAGCTACAGCCAGGAGATGGCGGTGATCTGATTCCTACTGTGGAAGAATGGACTGATGTAATGCTGAGTATATACGAAATGGAAAAAATAACTGCGTCTGTCAGGGTGGAGGTGTAAGTAAGTAGACAGGTGGACAATTTTAATAAAGTCTGGGGGGGATGGGTATAATATGTTAGGCAACATGGGACGGATATTGTTTGAAAAACAATTGGAGAGGTCCAAGGAATGAGAGATGTGCATTTAACAAGAAGTATCTATTTTCATACACGCTGGTTATAGCTACTTTTTCTTTCTGGGTTTATTTTAGGTTCTTTGTTGTTTTTATGGTTAAAGAAAAATATTTTCACATGAATGCATTTTCTCAGGGATGGATTGCTAAGACGAATGAACAAAGCATTGTTTGAATGAGCTTTGTCAGTTTGTGAAATGTACATTGTGAAGACAAAAGAGAAAAAATAAAATCAAAAAGACCCCAATTTCTCATGTGTCCTTTCTGCTTGCGCATTACTTTCCGACATGCAAAGTTTCTAATTCAACACATAAACCAAATTGTAATCATGAACCGCTGTTCCCTTTCCCCCATAGCCGTGTGTGTGTCACGAGGTGAAATAGAGGACTCAAATGCAGGAATGCATTAAAAAAGAACAAGATTTATTAAAATAAAGTCCATGGTGAAAACAAACTCAAAATCAGAGGCCGGAAAACCTCAGGTCCGCAGCAGGGTCCGAACAAGTCAGTGGCTGAAGCCCGTTTGTGACCTTCCATGCAGGGAACTGGCTCACCCCGGACAGAGACAAATGCCCGGCGGTGACCGACAAGAACAGAACCACCCCAGACGGAGATCATGGTCTGGCGGTGGCAACAGGTGAGGGGAAGGACAGGTCATTGAAGGGCAGCAGTCAGACAGAGACAGGTTCCAAACAAAGGGGGAACATCCCGACCAGGACTCCACTGGGTACCTCTCAGAAGGTCAGGGAGAAGGGAACAGAGGCAGCCCCGGAAGGAGAACAATGCCCGGCGGTGGTGCATGGACAGAAAACCACCCCAGACGGAGTTTCTTGCCTGGCGGTGGTTGCAGGTAACGGGGGTCGAGGTAGGCAGTGAAGTGAAGGATTAGGGCAAAAATAAGTACAAACCTGGTGACTCGAGATGAACTGGGAGCTGGTGTGGTGGAGAAAAGGCATTCCGCTGAGTCCTTGTGGTGGCTGGTCCATTCTGTCACGAGGTGAAATGATGGAGGACTCAAATGCAGGAATGCAAAAAAATAATGATTTAATAAAATAAAGTCCATGGTGAAAACAAACTCAAAATCCAAAATACAGAACCAGGAACAGAACAGATGTAGACAAAACAATGGACCAGCAACAAGAGGAGAGGAGCACAGGGTACATATAGACAGAGACACAGGAAAAACACATTAGGCCGGGGCAGACAATCAACACAGGGGAAACAGGACGTCAAAGTCAAACTAAACAGATGTCAAAATAAAACCAAAATACAAAATCAAATCCACACCATGACAGTGTGTGTGTTTTTAGTTTACTACAACTTGGTTTTGACCTTTTTAGTTCCAATTCCCCCAAAAAAACACTTTAACTTATTTCTTGTCGCCATGTAATACCACATGAAACTACCAAATTGAAATTTTATCTATCAAGAAAACGTCAGCCTCAGTTATTTCACTCTAAACAACTGGAACGTGAACATACGTGACTCGCCTTTCCTGCCTGTGTCCACCCTCAGAGGCAGACTATAGAAAACAACCTTTATGGGAGGAGTAACTTACATCAAGCTGTTGGAGGTCATTCTAAATACTTCTGGGGTGGATGCAGCACCTCATCTTTTGGTTTTTATTTAAATTTTCTCACTGCAAAAGAGTGTTTCTATACCCAGGAGGAGAATCAGAGAAGGCTGCCAAATCCTTTTCTTTCCAAGAGGTTGCCAATCATAGACCAAAGAAATTTGTGAAGATTTGGGAAGTTATAAATGGTTTTCCATCACGTGCTTATAACCCATGATGCTTTAGAGAGTTTAACCAGGAGTGGTCTACAAGATTATTGAATTACTATGTATTTACATTTACATCCTGTGACTTGACCAACCCATGACGCTCCTCTGCTTCAGTGCCTTGCGAAGGTATTCGCAATGAGATGTTTAAAGCTTGGGAAATCTTTTTGTATCCAAATCCGGCTTTAAACTTCTCCACAACAGTATCTCGGACCTGCCTGGTCTGTTCCTTTGTCTTCATGGTTCTCTCTGTGCTTTAAACAGAACCCTGAGACTATCAAAGAGCAGGTGCATTTATGCGGAGACTTGATTACACACAGGTGCATTCTATTTATCATCATCAGTCATTTAGGACAACATTGGATCATTCAAAGATCCTCACTGAACTTCTGGAGTGAGTTTGCTGCACTGAAAGTAAAGGGGCCGAATAATATTGCACGCCCCAATTTTCAGTTTTTTATTTGTAAAAAAAGTTTAAATCACCCAATAAATTTCATTCCACTTCACAATTAAAATTTTATATCTTTATGTTTGAAGCCTGAAATGTGGCGAAATGTTGAAAGGTTCAAGGGGGCCGAATACTTTCGCAAGGCACTGTACTACTGTATAAGGAGCAGCATCTGCTTCATTCTGGGTCTTTGTCTGCTATTCCATCTTAGCGAGACCCAGGCTATGGTTTTTTGTCCGTCATTTGTCTGTATTCTGCTTTTTAATATCTAAGCAGAGTCTGTAGTTTGCATTCACTAATCACTGGGAGAGAAACCCAGTTAGATTATTTACTACAGATTCTCACACAAATATACACATGACAACTTAAAGTGATTGTATGTAACTCTAAATGAATTACAAATTTTAAGAATTGTATTAAATTGACCTTCTGGCCTTAAATATTGACATCAAATAAGTCATTTTATTCATTCTAATATTACGGGTAAGTCCCGCCTTCCCTTCTCTTAGCTATAGTTCAGAATCCACGATGCCGTCCACGTTAACCAACCAAGTGATGCCACGGGCTGTCAATCATCGCGCCGATGCTCGTAGCTGCTCATGCTCAGTTGTTTGTTTTTGCAGAGCCTCCAAATCAAGTCTCCATTAGGCTCTGAAATATCCATAATCATTTATATACTGAACCTATATCCATAATCATTTATATACTGAACCTATATCCATAATCATTTATATACTGAACCTATATCCATAATCATTTATATACTGAACCTATATCCATAATCATTTATATACTGAACCTATATCCATAATCATTTATATACTGAACCTATATCCATAATCAGATCCTCTGCAGATGTGTCCTATAATGTTCAATGCATGATAATAGCTACTTCAGGGTTTGCTGCGATCGCTTTTTTGTGCATTAAAACATTATTTTTTTCATGAAAACGTTAACAAATAATTCTGAAAACCTCCGCGCATGTGTATTAATAATGTATATGTATAATGTGTTCTCCGATTAACATTTAAATGTGTTATGGAAACGTAGGTGTAGACCAAAGGAAGGGGCAGGGAGCTTGCGTCGTTTTTTTTCAAATCAAGTAACTCTCTGTCTTTCTTTCTGCCAAACTGCAGACAATCACTTTAAGTACAAGCACAAAACAGAATGGAAACACGTGAATACTGCAGATAATGCGAGATAATGCACAGTAGCACAGGAATGACGTTAGCTTAGCTGCTATTGATAGCCAAATGTAGCTAAATGTAGCTAGCTCACTGTGTACCACAGACAATCGAACATGTACACAGTAAATACATTTCAGTGAGAGCTTTGGGCCAACGGGATACTTAGCTACAGTTAT